AAACAACTGCACCTCCCAGTCGCGAACCATTTCAACTCCCCCTCCCATTCCTCAGGCGACATGTCCATCCTGGGCCTCCTGCAGTGCCACAATGATGCCACCCGAAGGTTGCAGGAACAGCAACTCATATTCCGCTTGGGAACCCTGCAGCCCAATGGTATCAATGTGGATTTCACAAGTTTCAAAATCTCCCCTCCCCCCACCGCATCCCAAAACCAGTCCAACTCGTCCCTGCCTCCCTAACCTGTTCTTCCTCCCACCTATCCCCTCCTCCCACCCCAAGCCGCACCTCCATCTCCTACCGACCAACCTCATCCCGCCCCCTTGACCTGTCCGTCCTCCCTGGACTGACCTATCCCCTTCCTAACTCCCTACCTACACTCACCTTTCCTGGCTCCATCCCCGCCTCTTCGACCTGTTTGTTTCCTCTCCACCTATCCTCTCCTCTATCCCTCTTCTATCCGCCTCCCACTCTCTCCCTATTTATTTCAAAACCCCCTTCCCCTCCCCCTTTTCTGATGAAGGGTCTAGGCCCGAAACGTCAGCCTCTCTGCTCCTATGATGCTGCTTGGCCTGCTGTGTTCATCCAGCCCTGCACCTTGTTGTCTCATCTTCAGCCTAGGTACTTTACAGTTTTCTGAATTTAATATTGAGTTCAACACCTTTAAACTGTGAACAATTTCTTCCTTTTCTTTTAGTTTGTTATCATGTCCTCCCCTGCCCCCATCCCAGTCTGTTTCCAGTCTGGCAGTTAGACACACCATTGTTCTGCCATTCTCACATTCCAATCACTTAATCCAAACTTAATCTGAATCCTTTCTCCGCCAGCACTCTACACCCCACCACACTACATCCACCCCCAACTAAAGCATAAATGCTGCCCCCTCCATACTTCACTTCAGCTCTGATGAAGAGTCATTTAGGCTCGAAACATTAGCTTGCTTTCTCTCCATGTATGCTGTCTGACCCGCTGTGATCTTCAGCACTGTTTGTTTTCAGTATAGATTCCAGCATCTGCAGTAATTTGCTTCTTTCCTTCCTTGTTCTGACTGGTCAGGCAGTAGGTTTTTGACTTCATTCTAGTACACGGAACAGACACTTAGTAATGTTGCTTACAAGTGTGGCTGGCTTAAACTGCTGGCTATATACAGTGTGAGTATTGTAAAGAAAGGCCTGGACAGTTTCCAACTCAAACTACTTTTTGCCTTCGACTTTTTAAACTCCAACTTTCAAAGTCGAAAGGTTAAAACACTTCAAACAGTTTAAATGCTTTCAGTTATGGAGCAAATAGTTAAACTGAGGCAGAAGTACAATTTAATCATCATATTTATCTTAGTCATCATTATAATATGGCTCCTTCAAGGCAGGTAACTTTTTTCCCTTTGGTATGATAATCAGCAATGTCCTTATTCTATTTCTCCTCAGTGTATAAGCTTTTCTATTCAACAGCTTTTTCTCTTCTTCAGTGCATCCCATTACACAGCTCACATAAACCTCTTTACCACACCACCATTAGATAAGGCGAGACTCTTCAGTGTTTGACACATTGGCCAAAAATCAACAAGGGCCCAGAGGGAGGTTTTTCTGGTGCATTGAGCTCCTTCTTCCCACTGGTACCTAGAGATGGTGCCTCAGTTTCCATTTCTCTGTTGTAGGGCGCCCCATCTGCTTTAACCAGTTCTTCACATTTGCCTTTAATTGTGGAGATGCTCTTTTCCATTTCTCCATGGAACTAAAAGACCATCAAGGATCATCAATCCACTTAAAAGCTGGTCCATAGCACAGTGGAATAACAGAGGTGGAGATGTGATCCCAAATGGCAGGTTCTTGTATTTGGATAGTCTTTTGTGTGTTACAATCGTCAAGTATTTTGGTGACTCAGGACCTACATTAATTTGGAACGAGTAAAATTGACCCTAGTCAAGCCTGAAAAGCTGACTCCTAGCTAGTCCAACAAATAGGTCATTGATTAAAGGTACAGGATACTCCTCAGCACACAGTATCAGATAAATACTGACCGTAAAATCACTGCTGATGTGTATCGATCAATATTTCTCCATCATTTGTACAATAAGTGTGGTCTGATCATTCACATTTATAACTTCAAGACTTCTGCCTTGACCAGTCTGTCTAATTCAACCTGGACTTTTGGTTTAATTGATAAAACACTGATCTTGCCTTGCAACAGTTTGCTTACTTCTCATTTTTGATTTTCAGTTGCCAGTGATCCTTTCCATGGTTCCAAGATCCCATTGAAAACAATGGCAGGTTTCTTTAGAATTTGTGTTAGATCAGTCTCAGAATCTTACAACTCATTTACTTCAGGCCAGTTGAGTTTGAATTTCTCTAACCACATTCTTCCCAATAAAGCTGGGACATGTCCTTTGGTCATGTGTGAGGATAGAACTTCAGGATGACCATATAACTGATCCGGTGGTAAAAACAGGAGAGGTTCCTGGTCAGCCAGAACCATGTGGTCACCACCTCCCCACATTGAGAAACACCACTCTCTGGTTCCTGTTAGGAAAAAGTGTCATCCTCTTTTACACACACACACAGACACACGCAGACAGACACACACACACGTGCAGACAGACAGACACACACAAACACACACTCACACCCACACACACACATGGTCACATAGACTCACACACACTCACACAAAGCCCTCGCTATCACTCCTATTAAACTACCCCATAACCTTCTCTGCTCACAGGAAAACAATCACAGCTTCTGCAGTCTCTCTGTATTCCCTGTCATTCCTCGTTCCTCCTGATGGGAGACCAGAGAGATATAGGGCCTTTTCCCTTTTGTTAGATCAGGGATGGTTATGATGGGGTTTGATAAACAATCAGGAGATTCTACTCATGCACAGTGAAGGGTGGAATTTTGGAAAGTGTATTTTACAGAAAGCTGTCAGGTTGTGGAATGTCAAGACAGAAACTGCCATGGCATTGGAATCTGCAATCAACTTCCAAAGGAGCCTATTAATTGTTGGAAAGGGTTTGGGCATTATGTTGAGAATTCTCTGAAAGAGTGAGATGACCTGAATAACCTCCAGCAGTGATGGAGAATTCTATCCCTGCAAAAGTGTTCACTGTTCTTCCTTCCCTGCAGGCCGAGGGCTCATGCTCATCAACAGGCAGGTCTTCCAGTGACTGTTCCTACGGTGGGCCGACTATAACTCTGTTCACCTGAACAGGCAGGAGGAGGGCAGAGGTCACATGAGTTTTCCAGCGAGGGATTGGGACACTTTATTAGGGCTTAAGGACCCCAGAGCAACCGTGCGATGATGTCATGAAGTTGCACATCACTGGGCCTAAATAGTGCAGTGTTAGAGCACTCTAAAATGAGGGAGAGAGGCTGATGAGGAAATAGACATGAAAAACATGAAGATTAGCCCTTACCTAGTGTAACTACATTTCATTGCCTGCCTGGTGTATCTGTGAATTACAGCAGTATTCAGTCTGACTGTGTAATAAATTGGCCGATTTTCTTACTCCTTTATGAGTAAAGTCATGAAGGCTCCAACAGAGGTCCTGGTGGGGAGGCACTGGACACTCCTGAACCATATCTTTACTCTCTGTCTCCTGCAAATCAGCCACACTCCCAACGAAGTCAAGAATTTGCTTCAGATTCATGAGCTCCAGCTTGTAAACTCTCTCTCATTGGACGCATGATCAAATTCCTCCTGGAAACGTATCAAAATACCTTC